ATTAAAGCACCTGCTTAGGCAGATGCAGGAGCTGGGAGTTCAATGCCCAGGCCTTCTGTGAAGGCTCTGCCCCCAGGGCAAGCTAAAATGCGATTGAGACTGGGTGTGGTGGCTCATGCCTGTGACACCAGCACTTGGGAGGCTGTAATAGATCACTACTAGTCCGATCTATGCAGTGAGACCCTGCACACCCTATGGATCCTGTCCTAAAATACAAACAAAAAAAGTTTTAATCCATAAATTAACTATAGTGATATGAGCCAGAAGCCTACCATCCCGAGGGAGCAAAGAGCAATAGAGCCCAAGGAGAACTGTTGTCTCTTGTAAATTCCAGCAAGCTGGGATACAAGGTGACAGATAATAGCATTTCCCGGAGGCATCCTGTCTGTTCTTTGACCTGACCCTTCACCTGGGATGTTATTGGCTAGCACTGTGTGACCTTAGAGTGTGGTGAATGTCAGAAGGCAATAGATAGTAGTTTGTATTCACAAAATGAGTTATGCACGTTTCTTAGCCTGCTTTTAGCCAGCAATAAATGTGGGATATTTTGGCATCTCAGGACTCACTTGAAGTGAGAGTAAGCTTGGGAGTCCTCTGACAATATTAATCCAGTCTTCCTATCATTTCTTTCAGTTCTAATTGATAATATACTACACTTAACAATGAATAGTCATGCACTAAAGTCAACACATATATCTAGCATTTCAGTCTAAGCTTGTCCATGTGTACAACCGAAATCGGTTACAAGGCATGGCCTAAGACACACCAGGGGTAGGTACTTTTTACAGGCATTAAACTTCATCTTGCACACTAAAGTCATCATGCATGGGGGGCAAAGTTGGAGCTTTTGTATTTACATTTATTCATTTAACTTTTAAAATACTACTATGATTGAATATTGAAACAAAAACAATAGCAAGTGGTGAGTATATGATGATTCTAGTCCTTTGCGCACTCATTACTGGACACTACGTGCCAGCGGTGAACATTATTCACTGGCCCCATGAGGAGGTCTGACACAGAACACCACCTCTGGGATGATGTTCGCCATCCTCATAGGCTTCTCCAATATACTGTCACTGTCTTTCCTGATTTTGATCAAAGTTCACCAGTTCTACCTGATCCACTTCATCAGTCTCTGCTACTTCCTTCCTCTCAGGTAAGAGTTTTCCAACAATGAAGGATAGAGAAAACCTTTTTCAGGGAAGTTTACCTTAAATTTGATGATTGGATGATGCTTTTCATATGGTAAATTGGCATGCCTTCATTTAGCACACCCTTGATACTATACTTGACTATTTGACCTGAATGAGAGGTGATGACTACTGTTCAGCTGTCAAGAGTGGATATCAGCTTTCGGCATCCACGCAGTGCTTCAGACATCAGTATATCCATACGCGTGAAAAGGTCTTCTCCTTATCGAGTAAAAACAGAAAGAACATTCTGATCCAACACAATGATATCTTCTGGCTCCTGTTCTAGTTCTTGGACTCCTTCACCATGGAATGTTATCTTCTGGTCACCTTTCATGCCTTTGTCAATATGAACTTCTAGAATCTTCTTTTTCTCTTACTATCTTCCTTCCTTTGCAGCTTTTACATCTGTTTTTAGGGCTGATGCATTCTCCTTGGCCCTGACACTCCATGCAAACAGACTGAATTTGTTAAACCACTCTAGGTCCTATCTGATAAATTCTTATTTACATTCCAGTACCTCAGCAACTGGGACAGCATTCCATGGTTCCTTTCTTACTACCTTGGCCTTCACATCTGTCACAAATCACATTCTTTTGCAAAGTCAATTTCCTTTTGGCACAATTATATAAATTTTCTAAGGTAACTGAAAACTGATGCAACACATTCGTACCTCTGTTTTCTCTCTGTATCCTTCCTCCTCCTCCAGAAAATGTGTCAAAGATATCCATGGGGAAACCAAAACTGCTATCTGCTCTACCCTCCTTAATTGCCTGTTCTCCTCTTTTGTCATATAATTCCCTTTTCTTGACATCAGAGAGAATTTTATAAGCTTGAGAAATCTGTTTCAACTTTTCTCCTTCATTTGGACTCTTATCAAGATGGTACTTCAAAACCAGTTTCCTATAAGCCTTTTTTAGTTCTTGTTGGGTAGCATTGGTTCTGACACCCAAAACATCACAGGAAGTGGTTTCTTTCACCATTTTCTGCAGGCAGTGAGCAGGCTGGGCAGCAGTAGGATAAGCAGGAAGGAGCGCATAGCCATTTGCAGGTCGAACAGCCACCACTCTTCCACTTCTCACCGCCTTCCAGAAAGTTCCATGATAGGTAAATTATTTGTGGAGAAATATTTAACATGTGGATTAGAGGGAGATAAGTATTTAATTACAGATAATAGATGTGTAGAAGATAGATGAATACATGAATCAAAACTGTAATATAGGGCCTTGGGGATAGCTCAGTTGTCTAAGTTTCTGCCTAGTCAAGCACAAGAACCTGGATTTGATTCAGGTACCACATGCAATGTTGGCCCTGTTCTGGGCATACTAAGCAGGCCACCAAGAACAGGCATGGTGGCACATGCCTATAGTCCCAGTGCTGGGGATGATGAAACAGGAGACTCATTGAGAGTCCAAGCTATGTAGTGAGATCCTGTATCAAATATATAAAAAGTATAATATAGACGTAAGCAGTTACATATATAATTCTTAAATTCAGCATATTTACATTGAGGATAAATAAATAAATAGATGGTAGGGAAATAAAAGTGTGATGAAGCGTAGATACATAGATAGATACACAGATAGACAGATGACAAGAAGGTCATTATCAAGATTTAACATAAAATAATGAGTTTTTTCATGATTTTCCAAATATAAATGAAGTGACTGTTTATGCATGTTGACAACTAGAAAAGCTGTCACAATGATTGACTCCAAGGGAGTCACTCTGACTACATTTTAATACTAGGCCAAATTTCAAGGCTCTGAATTATTTTATACCAGGTAAGAGTCACAGTCAGGGCCCAGTTTTCCCTTGTCCTCAGAGACTCAGGGGAGACACAGATAGAGCGGACCTCCTGTTTCAAATATGTACAGACCTTGGCTGTCTCCTTAGGCAAAAGCCTTCAACCTGTACCCTGATTTTCCATTGTTCAATGCTCAGGCCACTCACTGTCCACATGTCCACTGAGAAATGTGCAAAATGTACAGGCCAGCTCCCCTGTGCACCTTGAAAATCAGATTTGATGTGGAGTACATATTTCCTTGAGAATAATGTAAATATAACAAATTGACTTTGCAAAATGAATAGGCACTAAGGGTAAGACTTTACATCAGGGTCTGGGACTCAACGTTAGCTACAATTGGGTCTACGAAAAAAAAATTTTTTTTTCTCACTGAATGCCTTCAGAGCACTTTTGGCTGGCTGGAGGGTTGTGGGGATCGAACTACAGCAACCTGAGGCTGACAGCTTTGTGGAAGCAGCCACTTAAAGAACTGAGCTAGGGCCAGGCCCCCGAAAATTGTTATTTTTGAGTCTTCTATGTTTGTAAGGTGTGTGACAGCATTGGTGGTCTGTATCAACTACATGCTAGGAGAAACTTTATCACTTCTGAGTCAACACAAATTATTAATGTGTTGGTAATGGGTGGAGAACTAAATAGCTCCAGTATTATTTGAATATTTCTTGGGAATGGCTGAAGCTGGAAATTGGTCATAAATGTGAGAGTGGGATAGAGGGAAAGTGCCCAAAGCAACCAAGCTAACTCAGTCTTGAAAAAAGCATCCTCCTTGAACAATGTCAGCCATTTATTGCTAGGCAACCTTGTCTCACGTGATGGTAACTTTGCAAGAGTATAAATAAACACTCCTACTGCTGTTACTACTAAGACCTCTTCCTCATCAAGAGGCCTGCACCTGATGTCAGCTTTTGTGTCTTTATTTTCTTCTTCTTCTTCTTCTTCTTCTTCTTCTTCTTCTTCTTCTTCTTCTTCTTCTTCTTCTTCTTCTTCTTCTTCTTCTTCCTTTTCTTTTTGATGGAACTGGGGATTGAACTCAGGTCCTTGTGCTTGCCAGGCAAATGCTTATTCTACTGAGCTATCTCCTCAGCCCCTCTTCTCTTTATTTTCTAAAGTCCCTCACTCTGCCTCCTAGCAACAAGAGACCAACAAGTCATTAAATAGATCTACATCAACATATAGATTATTGGGGGCCTGCCCCATAGCTCAGTTCTTTAAGTGGCTGCTGTGGTTCGATCCCCACAACTCAAGCCAGCCAAACGTGCCCTGAAGGCATTTGGAGCAAACAAAACAAAATAAAACAAAGAACCAAACATATAGACTATTGTGTGCTTACAGGGTAGAAGTGTTTGTATGACCCAGAATTGGGAGGAGCTCTTCAAAATGAGATGCCCTGGAGACAGAAATAAAGGTGGAAGGCAGACTTGCAGTCAAAAATACTAATTTTCATGATTAAATGTTTCTGCACCTGAAACTAAGGAGATTATGCAATCTGTTGTGCTGTAAATCAATACTTTTAGTGAAAAGAAATTTACTGTGCAAGCCAATCTGATATAGATGTTGAAAAAAAGATTGACTCTATGTAAAGATAATATTGTGAAGGCTGGCCGTATAGCTCAGCGAACTAAAGCCCCTGCTTAGGCAGAGAGCAGCGGCTGGGGTTCGATTTCTGGAGTGCTGCGTTGGCCCTGTCCCCAGGGTGCGCTGAGATGGCGATTGACACTAGGCGTGATGGCACGTGCTTGTAATCCCAACAGTTGGGGGGCTGAAAACAGGAAAATCACTAGGAGCTGATATACATAGCGAGACTGTACACCCTGTATACACTGCCCTAAAATAAAAATAATTAATAATAATAATATTAATAATTATGTGTGACCAGAGATATAAAAGATCCTTAGGATGTTTTTGCCTGGAGCCACTGATGGAGATGCTAATCAACAGGTGAGAAAAACCTCCCAACGTTTTCTCCACCTTGGCTGGGAGATTGGTAGTGTGCTGTGCGCCCCCTACTGGTCCTGAGTGCCATTGCAGAGAGGTTTGTGTCTGGGCTCACACTTGAATGTAATCACTGTGAATCTTGCACAATAATATGTGGCTGTGTCCTCCGTGGTGACTGAGTTTAGCTGCAGAGAGAACTGGTTGTTGCCTGTGTTTCGGGAGATGGAGATGCGGCTCTGGAGGGACTGGCTGTAGCTAGTGCTACCACTGTAGCTTATGTGCCCCATCCACTCCAGGCTTTTTCCTGGGGGCTGACGGATCCAGCTCCACCAGTAATTACTGGTTGTGATGGAGAATCCAGAGACAGTGCAGGTGAGGGCCAGGGTCTGTGAGGGCTTGACCAGGCCAGTTCCAGACTCCTGCAGCTGCACCTGGGACAGCACACCTGGAAACAAAGAACTTTCCATCAGCCATCTGTCTTCATACTCATCCCATGGACCTAAGTCTGACAGTAGGGATACTCACCAAGGGGTCCTGTCGCCAGGCACAGGAGAAGGCCCAACAGTTTCATATTCTAGACCACAACTTTGCCTTCTTCAGAGATCTTAGTTCTGTTGGAAGAAGGAGCTGTGAGACCTGTCAGCCCAAGAGGGATATTTGAATCTAGGTTTTTAAGACAAATTTGCATATGGGTGGTCCCTTTCTTTTAGGAAGGGACCAGGGCATTTATGGTCATCATGTTTGAGAGAGCAACCTCTTTCCTCAATCAAATGGTGAAAATTGGGATGTTGACACCATTGGAATGGTAGAAGTAAGGCAATGACCCTACTTTTCTCATCCCAGATCAGCTGCCTCAATTTCCTTCTCTGTTTTTGGGCCCCATCCCAACTCCCCTCTTTCACATGAGCTCTGGTGCTGCTGCTCCACAGTTAATATGAAAACAGCTTCTTCTATCCTCCTTGATCTCTGTCTTCTGGATCTCTCCATGCTGGATGAATTCTCCACCATTGTTGCTGTCTGCAAAGTTCTTCTGACCTCCAGCTCTGAGACAGCAGGCCATCAAAATTTCAGCTGACCAGATCCAGCAGAAACTGGAAATAGAGAAACCTGTTCTTTGCTTATCTTACAAAGATGCTTTTAATCATTGGGGAAGAGAAGGAAGCCATCTGTAATCAGTGCCCTGAGCACACAAGACCTTATGTAGTCACTAGGTGGTCGTTTCCTTTCTAACTTCATCTTCCACTCTTCTTTTCTTGAGGTGATTTGTCAATTGAAGATGCTTACCTTATTATAGTCATCCCTTTGTAAACAATTACGCAATATGAACACCATGAACATGGTGACAATGCCCTTAAAATTGAAACTTAACTCCAAAGTCAATTCATATTTTATATGTAGGTATCTAGTTCTTGATTACTTTTAATGCATTAAGGATTCCATCAAAGGTTTTTGAGTACAAAGAAAGCATCAAAGACTCTCATGATTTCTTGCTACTGAGTTCTATGGCAAATGCTTTACAAACTTACTAAGGACCCCATGGATAGATGGAATCTCCCAGTGTCATTAATTAGTTCTCCCTAAATAATTCCTGTGTAGCTGACATCCTTCTCAATTTGTCTCTGAATCAAACAACTATGATTGAGAATTCACGAGTAATTCAGCATGAAGAGCGGAGTCCATCTCCATCCAATCTAACTCTGAGACCCTCAGCAGGGGTCCATACATTGTGACCCTTATGTGAATGGTGTGAAGGCTGACTTGAGGAGTAACTGTGTTGGGACCTTCTCAGCAGGGATGTGCAATTGTCCAGTACCATCACCTCTACCAATAGTGTTGTCTACTTTTGAAACAGAAAAAGCTCAGAGGAACCCTCACATGGTCCAAAAAACACCTGCTCTGCTGTGCTATCGTGTGACACCTGTGAGTGGGAGTGCCTTTGCAATTCATCCACTAATTTATATTTACATTCTCTGAGTGTTTTTATCTATATCATTTCTTGGGCACAGACTTGATTCTAGTATATTGGTCTCTGTTTACAATTTTTCAAATTAAAACTTTATTAGTACATATTTGAAGGATTTCATTGCACTCATCATGAAACTTCTTCCATCGGTTTCCTTCCTCTCCCCAAATTTAATACTATTCTAGTGGCCGGAGGCAGCTAACAGTTGAGTAAACAGTAGTAAAATGAAATAGATTAACAGGTTGCACATGGATCCTCTGGAGAGGATCTGGGCGAGTGAGTGGAGCTGTTTCGAGTCTAAGGAGGACAGAAGCTGAACCCTGACATGCAGAAGTAGGAAAGTATGTTACTGAGTGCTCACTGGTTCTGATCTTTAATACTGGCTATCTCTACCCTGCTCTGAGATCACATTTAGAGATTCCCCTGCATCCAGAATTCTGATCTCTGTACTGAGTTATATGACATAGATGGATTGGTAGGAAAACTGGTATATATCCCACAGAGAGAAGAATAAAATATAATGACGCATAAGCTCACGTTGGGGGAGGTGGTCACAGGCTTTCCTTCGAAGGTCCGGTAGGATTTGTTCACTAAGGTTAGGAAACTGTGTGTTTTGTTTGTGGCTTTTATTTGTATGTCATGTTATAATGCTGGTGGAACCAAATTTAACAAACATTGACACATGAGGAAGAGTAAAATTTGCATGAATACCTGGAGGATATCAGTGATGAGCAAGTTGAGAACCACAGATTATGATGGTGGATAACTTCATGCTTAAGAAGGGAAGGGGGCTGGCCTGATAGCTTAGTGGACTAAAGCACCTGCTTAGGCAGAGCGCAGCGGCCAGGTTCAATCCCTGCAATGCCGTGTCAGCCCCACCTGTGAGGTGTGCTGAGATGGCGTTTGAGACTGGGTATGGTGGTGAACATCTGTAATCCCAGCACTTGGGAAGCTGAAAACAGGAGGATCACTAGGACTCCGATCTGTGTAGTGAGAGCCTGTGGACCCTGTGCTAAATACAGAAGAAGAACAAAAGAAGAAGGGGGAAGGATGGTTCAACTAATGGATTTTTCCCCTCCATGAGGAGTTAAGGGTATAAACTAATGGTGGAAGGTGAACTTTGTGAGACACATTTGAGGAACAGGAAGACACTTCAGAGCAGTTGTGTCTGGAGTGCAAAGGCAGAACAACACAGAAAAGCAACAGTGATGCTGGTCAGTACTGGCGTCAGGTGCGTGTACTAGGCTCAGTACCAGGAGCTCCACGTTCCTCCTGTGTCCATTCATTATATTCTTTGAGGCACAGTTTAAGACATGAATGCAGATAAACTCCTTTGCAGTTGGGTTTTTTGGTGATGATGCAGGTGAAGTTTAGGAAGTATTAATATAAACTATGGGAAATGGGCCGGGGAGATAGCTCAGGAGAATAAGTGCTTGCCTGGCAAGCACAAGGGCCTGAGTTTGATCCCCGGTTCCACCAAAATAAATAAATAAATAAATAGAAATTTGTGACTAAAATATGTTAATTTGTAATCTAGAAGAAAAATATTATGTTAATATTAAGCAATACAATTGCATCAATTAAGATTTTGTTATGAAGTGGTTTGTAGATATTGTGAAGGAATATTAGGGATTTTCTCTGAGATTGTGCTGGATGAACTCTTTGGGTCCAATTCCATCCCC